CCATAACCGGAGCGCTAGCAGCAGCAGTTGGAGGATCTGGCATTTGCTTTGATGCTGAAGGAGGCTACTTTGATAGAACCTGTTTCCTAGTGACTCCCAGGTCACCACCGACCTTATGTTCTTGAACTTAGTGATGCCACTGCTGCCCCCTGAACCCACTGCTCTGTGCATCCTAAATCATTCCTGCACAGGATTCTTCATTTTGTGTTTTATCAACCTGGAGTTGAGAGTTAACTGCTAGTTGGACCGTCTCAGTATACACATGGTTCTATATGAAAGAGACACCAATGCCAAATGATCAACCTTTAAAACAGACATAATATGATTTGAACCTAACAAATTCTACACACACACATACACACACACATACACACTTTGGTATGAAAGAGGACAAGGTGGTCATGGTGGGGTACATGGGAAATGTTAGAAGGACAGAAGAGAAAGAGAAATGGTGTAATTACATAATTCTCAAAAACTAATTAAATGAAAGAAGGGAACTAAGCACAGTAGTGTAGGAGCAAAGAGGAGAAGCTTCCTCCTCCCTGTCCCTTTCATTTTTCTGAGTCTTTCTGTACTATAATTTATTTAACTCATTTGCAAAACATTATGATTTCAACACGTAGTAACTACATGTGTTTGGATATCCCATGTTTTCATATCAAGTTCCTTTCTATACAGTGGTGTATTTTTGTATATATATATATATATCATGTCTCAGTTGATACTAACACAGGGCAAATGCTTAGCAGTATGTTTGTGACCTGTGTTTCTGAAGTGGACACGATGCTCCTCATCAGGACTGAAACCATCAGCAGCCACTCGGGTTCCTTTGGGAGACAGATGAATTTGCTCTGAAGGCACCTGTAGCTGCTTCCTGATTCTCAAAGCTTTTGCCTGCCACCTGCAAGGGCTGTGGCTCTCTCCTTCCTGGAACTCACTCACATCCCTGGCAACAGTGATTATCTTCTTCGCAGCAGGTGTCCTTGTAAGACGCAGTTTCCCAGGACTCCTGCGGACCAAGTTCCTGCCTGGGGCACCTTTCCTACCTAGGTTGAGCTGGGGCAGGAACCCTGGCACCCTGGTTCCTCCCCTTAGCTCGCTGGTCAGATCAGCATCAGGCCCTCTACCCACAGCGGGGGGACGTGCAAATACGAATAAAGAAGAATCTTAGAGAGGAAAGGGCAGTTCTCCTCAGCTGCAGCCTGGCTGCAACTCTCAGTCTTCTGACAGGAAGTAGGCTGCTCTGGGGCCAGGAGTGCTGTGTTGCCTATAGCGGTAGCATCATCACTTTCCCGCTATCAGATCAAGCGCAGCCAATGAGAGCTGGCTAAACACCCTCTCTGCCTGCTTATATTTTCGCGCGCTTTGCCCGACCTGACCTGATCCGCTAGGGCAGACATCTTCGCAGTCCTAGACGAAAGCACCGGCCAGTAACTGTGCCTCTTGGAGAGAAAGCTTTCTTAGGTGAGTTACTCTTACTTTGGGGGCTGACTTGGAGGATTTATTTGCGGTGGAATAATGCAGAAAAGCCTCATTCAGATGGGCGTCAAGGAGACAGAGACATCTGTCTTCATGCCTCGGTTCGAGAAGAGAGCAGAGAGCTAGTACCCACGTGTGCACTGTCTGCAGCTATAGCGGGAGTAAAAGTACTCCAGGGCTCAAGGGAGAGCACACTGTTTTGTTAAAACCTGGCATCTGCAAACTGGGTGGCTCACTTTAAGAAACCTAAAATAAATTTCTCAGGATCTAAATGTATGTGTAGCAAATACTCACAAATATATTTTCTTGAGTGGGCTTCTTTCTTTCTTTCTTTCTTTCTTCTTTCTTTATTCCTTTAGCTCACTTTCTTCTTTTTTAATTTATTTGTCTTGAGCTCGATGTTTTTCTCTGCTCCCCTCCCTGTCTCTCCCCTCCCCTTAAACCCTCTCCCAATGTCTCCATGCTCCCAATTTACTCAGGAGATCTTTTCTTTTTCTACTTCCCATGTAGATTAGATATATGTATGTCTCTCTTAGGGTCTTCATTGTTTTCTAGGTTCTCTGGAATTGTGATTTGTGGGCTGGTTGTCTTTGCTTTATGTTTAAAAACCACTTATGAGTGAGTACATGTGATAATTGTTTTTCTGTGTCTGTGTTAACTCACTGAAAATGATGTTTTCCAGCTGCACCCATTTTCCTGCAAAATTCAAGATGTTGGGTATTTTTTCTGCTGTGTAGTACTCCATTGTGTAAATGTACCACATTTCTCTTACCCATTCTTCGGACAAGGGGCATTTAGGTTGTTTCCAGGTTCTGGCTATGACAAACAATGCTGCTATGAACATAGTTGAGCACATGTCCTTGTGGCACGATTTAGCATCCATTGGATATATACCCCAAAGTGGTGTTACTGGCTTTTGAGGAAAGTTGTTTCCTAATTTTCTGAGAAATCGCCACACTGACATCCAAAGCATTTATACCAGCTTGCATTCCCAAGAGCAATGCAGAAGTGTTCCCACAACCTCTCCAGCATAAGTTGTCATCAGAGTTTTTGATATTGGCCATTCTTACAGGTGTAAGATGGAATCTCAGAGTTGTTTTGATTTGCATTTCCCTGATGAATAAGGATGTTGAACATTTCCTTAAGTCTCTTTCAGCCATTTATTTGATTTTTTCTACTATTTTATTTTTTGAAGATTATCCATTTTTATTACTTTATAAATCATAGGAATCAAAATTTCCATTTCTCCCCTCCTCCCGCTTCCCTCCTGCTCCCCCAAACACCCTCCCCACTCCTGCTTCAGTCCTAAGAGAGGGCAGGGTACCCTGCCCTGTGGGAAGTCCAAGGCCCTTCCCCTCCATCCAGGCTTAGGAAGGTATGCATCCCAATAGACTAGGATCCCAAAAAGCCAGTACATGCAGTAGAGACAAATTCCAGTGCCATTATCATTAGCTTCTCAGTCTGCCCCAATTGTCAGCCACATTCAGAGGGTGCAGTTTGATCCTATGCTCATTCAGTCCCAGTCCAGATGGCTTTGGTGAGCTCCCATTAGAACAGGTACACTGTCTCAGTCGGTAGATCAGACCCTCATGGTCCTGACTTCCTTGGTCATAGTCTCCCTCCTTCTGCTCTTTAACTGGACCTTGGGACTTAGTCCAGTACTCCCATGTGGGTCTCTGTCTCTACCTCCATCTGTTGTTAAACAAAAGTTCTATGATGATATTTAAGATAGTCATCAGTCTGACTACGAGACAAGGCCAGTTCAGGCACCCTCTCCTCCACTGCCCAGGGTCTGACCTGGGGACATCCCTGTGGACATCTGGGAACCCCTCTAGAGTCAAGTCTCTTGCCAACCCCACAATGCCTCCCTTAATTAAGATATCTTCTTCCCTGCTCCCATATCTATCCTTCAAACATCCCACTCCCACAAGCTCTCCCCAAACCTATCCCTTCTCCCTTCTTTCTCCCCCTCTCGCCTTCTCCTCATCCCACCCCACCCCCATGCTCCCAACTTTTGCCTGGCGATCTTGTCTGCTTCCATTTTCCAGGAGGATCTATATATGTTTTTCTTTGAGTTCACCTTATTACTTAGCTTTTCTAGGATCATGAACTATAAGCTCAATGTCTTTTGTTTATGGCTAGAATCAATGCATTAATTTTTAAGGAGTATGTAATTAAGTTAAGTAGTGATCAAGCTGTTTAGCTTTCACTACTGCATAATAAATAAACCATTAAATAGCACTTGGACAGGTGGCTTACTATGTAACAGAAGTGTGTGGGGCAGAGTTAGGATCCCCAGGATCCATACAGATATTGTATGGGAATGGTAGCCCAGCTGTAAATCCAGCATATGAGAGAAAGGGTAGAAAAGCCCTGGATCATGTTGGCTAGCTAGATTGGCTTAATCAAAAAATTACTCAGACTCAATATATAAAGAGTAGAATGATCAAAGAAGACACCCAACTTTAGCCTCTTATCTCCACATACTGTGGAAATACGTGCCCACACACATAGGACTACCCAAAAACATTCACTCCCAAACTCCACAAATAGATGCAAGCACAAAGAAAATAAATAGAAAATAAAAAATAAATCACACTAACCTATCCCTGCTACATTTCCTTAATGAATTCATTAAAGGTAGGCATGGTACTGCATTCCTGGATTCCGAGCACAAAGAGAAGGAGGAATGAAAATTGTGAGTTTGAGGCCAACCTGGGCTAGATATTTTATTCCAGAGTGGGCTCAACTGCAGAGCGAAATCTGTCTCAGAGAAACTGCAATAAGTGCTCGAAAGATGGCTTGCTGTTTTAAATGAATGGATTGCTCCTAAGGAGAACTAGAACTCATTGACCAACCCTGACATCATGAGGCCACAACTGTTTGGAACTCTAGCTCCGTGGGATATGATGCCCTCTTCTGCTCTCTGCAGGCACGGCATTAACATGCACAAGCCCACATAGTAACATATATATATATATCTTGTATATATTTATAATATATTTATTATATATTTATTTATATATCATTTATATATTTATATTATATATTTATATATTATTTAATTGTATAGTTATTTATATTTATTTTATATATATTTATAATATATGTGGAATTTGATAGTGAAACATCTGGGAAATAATTGTGTTTCTTACTGTCCATTTTTGGGAGAAAGGAGTCATGTACAATAGGAAGAGATTATCTGAAAGATAAGTTAGAGGGACTGGGCTTGTATTTTGGATCTTGAGTTAAATCCTGATTTAAACACATTCATTGAATCTTTGAATTGCATATTAATGAGGTAAACTAAGGATTAGAGTTAGAATCCAAATTTTAAAGTATCTCTAATTTCTTTCTAGATCCTTCAAGAAGAGCAGAAGGATCCCAAGAATTCACAAATGCAAATGGAATCCCAAAAAAGACCAAATGAGACATCTAACAGCCAGGAGCAAAGACTCTATTCTTCTAAGAGAACTCGACAAGATCAGAACACTCTCCCAACTAAAACAATCAAGATCACCATGGGGGGAAACCCCAATAAATATCTCTGCAATCTCACCCATAGGGAGACAGGTAGCTTATATGAGGCCCTGAACTACCATGGCCTTGTCAAAAAAGAGATAGAAAAACAGCCAGGCAAAGAAATGCTGGTGTGTGGCAAAGAAGGAACAGAAGGGTACATAAACCTCGGTATGCCCCTCTGTTGTTTTCCACAAGGCAGCCATGTGGTCATTACATTTTCCGAAACTGAAAGTGAGGAGAAAAAAAATAATGAAGTGTGTGGCCGCTTTGACCAGTCATCTGCTGAGTGCGTTGTATTTTACATTCATGCAGTCGGGAATAGGGAGCAAAGGATTCTTAGGTGTAGGGAACTTCACGAGGAAGGTACCAAACTCTGTGTCTATGGTTTCAAGGGAGAGACCATCAAGACCACTCTGAGGAAGGATGGCAGATTTTGCTCCTTTGTAGAGAGTGACCATTGGAAACTCATTAATAATGACACCATCATAGAAAACAGCCAGCCAGTAGATGTGTTAGAGGGTAAGCTCTTTCAGATTGATGTTGAGAGAAAGGAGAGCTCTTGGGAAGCAGCAAGAACTCAGAAATCTGAGGTAGAGGACAGAAACATCAGTGAGTTGAAAGGATACATTGTGAATTTGTACCCCACACTGACAGGAGAGCGGGAGAAAGTGAGAGCATGTATCAAGGAAAAATGTGAGAATAGTAAAGAAGAGTCTCTTCTCGAAGCCTATAAGAGGAAGTTCAGTGAAGTTGCGAAAAGCTCTATTTCAAATCAAATGCTCAAACTTCTTTCATGCTTCATGGATTCCACTGGGCTCATAGTTTGGGACAATAATGGGAACAGCGGTAGAGCCACTTGCTTTGTTTTCAGAGGGTTGTACATTTTCACTTGTCGACATGTATTAAATGACATTGTGGGAGAAGGAAGAGAGCCAAGTAAGTGTCTAGATCTAATTAGCCAATGTGTAAGGGTGACATTTGATGACGAATACTCTGAAGAGCCAACCTCAAACTTCAATAGTTGCTTTCACATCGAACCTTGGCTTCTCATATCTGATGACACTCTTGACTATGCTGTCCTGAAACTGAAGGACAATGGTCAACATGTGCCTGCTGGACTGTATAATAATGGAATAGCTCTTGTACTTCCCAGTGAGTTGATATACATGATTGGCCATGAAAATGGAAACAAGGTTTTTGACCGTTGTGCAGTGGTCACTCAAGGTAAAGGAAAAGAGAAGAGTCAGCAATTTGTTCATGGAACAGAAGCAGCAGGGCACAGCCATCATTCTAAGTTCCTGCATATGTGTACAAAAAGAAGTTTCCAAGAAATGAATGTCAAGCCTAATGACTTTACCTATAATATTTTTTATAATGGCTCTTCTGGATCTCCACTATTTGATTGTAAAGGTTCTCTAGTAGCCATGCATACTGTTGGCTTCATTTGTGAGCATGAAAGCGGAGTTTATAATGTTATTGAGGTTGCCATAAAGATGGAATCCATCCTTGCTGATATTAAGCGAAAACATGAACTATGGTATGATGATGTTTGTGTAAAGCAGCAGGATGTTGAAATGTGCAGTGAAGAGTTTACAGGTCAGGAGGATGTTGAAATGTGCAGTGAAGCCTATACAAATGTATTTAAACAGGAAATAAAAATGTGAAGAGTTTTGAAGGTTGGAGAGTATTTGTTTCCGTTTTCTCTCTTTAAGAGATTTGGGTATTTAAAGGCAATACTATGTTTTTCCGACCTTCAAAGCGTTCATTTTAATGTGTAAACATGGCTGGAAATGTGGCTCACTGGTTGAGCACTTGCCTAGCATGCGTGAGGTTCTGAGATTAGTCCCCAGTGAAAGATGACTATGATAGCACTCAAATCAGTTTCCAAAATTGTTGTTCTCACTGGCTTTTTAAACGTTGAAGCCATCTTTAGTCTCACTTAATGGCTCATACACACGTTTACAGAAACTTGGGCATTTTCTATTCTAAACTGGTAGGATATTCTCTCTTCATAACTGTCAGTGATGCATGATTGCTAACAAGTTTTCAGAACCGTTGGCAATCGGAATCTCTCTCCTTTCCACCTGTGGCATGCAAGATGGAATGAAACGTTCGGCAGAAGGAGAATGTTCCAGAGTGTCTGCACTTTGCTCTGGCTCAGCTGTCACTAACCCTCCTCAGGCAGCTATGAGGAAGGTCGGAAACACTAATAGCTGAATCTCAGGGCAACAAGTCCTGACTACTTGTTAAGCCTTGATGCAGGGAGAAGCTAGGTCCTGCCTCAACTTGATATGCCAGGCTTTGCTGATTCCCAAGGGAGGCCTCACCCTATCTGGATGGAGAATGAGGAGGAGAGGAATGGGGGGAAGGGAGGTGGGATAAGAAGCGAGATGGGGGGAAGGAATGGGAGGAGAGGAGGGAGAGGAAACTGTTGTTGGTATGTTAAATAAATTAAAAATGATGAAAAATTACACATTTGTCCACGCATGTTGTAGAAGGCACGACATTCATGTTCTTACATCTGGCACATGCAGAGGTTGGCCCATAGGAAGCCAGGAACCCCACAGGTTTCCTCCATACTCTCAGGGTCTGCTTGTCTCCCCTCCACAAGCTGCAGAACCTGGTGTCTAATGTTTTCTCCAGCCAAGAGTTTAGGATTTCTTTTGAGTAAGTGTACAGCGCTCCCTGCAAGAACTGTGACAGGTGCCCTCCTCCAGAGTGCTGACTCCTCCTTTGGGACTTCTCAAGCCCTGCCCTGTGCAATCTGCACCTGGCCTCAAGCTCTACTGTGGAGCAATCAGGAGCTTTCTGATAGGAAACCTAGCTAGCTTAGTCCTGCATCTTCTCAGTGGTGACATCCTCCATGTGATTCAGCGTCCTGCTATGGGTCACCAGAGTAACTTCAGTGGACAAGAGACCCAGGGAGATTGCACGTGTGGGGTGTTGGTCTAAGAAAAACTAAATTGAAGGTTGTTAAACCGATTTGACTGAGAGAAGTCACACTCCTGTCTGTTTTCCAAAGCAAGTGTTGACAACAAGTTCTGCTCTTCATGAGAGTCGTGAAATCAAAGGTGTCCCTGCCCCCTCTCTGGTGCATACTACAGCCTGTTTCAGGGTTGTTTCATTTTGCTTTGTTTGTTCCTCTTACACCCAGAGCAGAGTATAAAGACCTGCGGCATGGTGAACAAACAGAACAGCTTCCATTTGAAAGACTCCCCCTTTTAGATGAATTTCTTCCCTCAGTTCTGGGGAGGATGTGAAGTCTGGGTAGGATTCGTTGGCTGTAGAATAGAGCACCACCTGGTACCCTCTAGCACACAGTGGAACAAAAATCCACTCAAAACATGTCTGTGGGTCCTGGGGTCCTTCAGACTTGTGGAATACCTAGCTCATATATGCAGAGTCTTTAACTCGTCCTCTTCCAGCCCCAGAGGATCCAGTGCCTCTGAGCCAATACCTATGCTGTATACCTATTTACACAGCCCACGGGCTCCCCTGGACCAGGAGTGTTATGGAAGGAAGCACCAGGGAGCTGGCCAATCAGAGTTTGCCTACATCAGCTCTTATTAGGTAAGATTGGGGGCAGAGAAGGGTATATCTGAAAGGAAGCATACATGGCTGGAGAGATGTCTCATCTTGGATAATCTTTCCCTATTTCCTTTGGACCTCTCTTCACAAATTTCTTTGGTTTTCAAGCTACTATCCACCGATTTTCCTACAATTTTCCATGTAAATTTACCACCTCTTCCTATCTCCACTTTAAAGGAAGACACAAGTTTAATATCAATATAAGAAGGACACAGTTTTAAATCCCCAAATGCAAATTCTTTTGAGAGATATTGACAACTGCCTTTGAACTCTCTCTCTGCTTCCAACTCTGGGCTTGAGAACATCACGTCCCAGGTCTGTCCAAGATGTCCTTTCCCTAGAAGCAAAACCTGGCTGGAATCTGTTTTTCACAGCATCTCTGGGGTTAAAGATAATTTCTGTAAGTTATATGTATAGGTGTCTACGTCACAATGCTCAGCTTTTATTGTTGGATACGTTGGGAGCAAAGTAAAAATGTCTGCTTACTCAGAACATCCAACCACAAGCAAGGTTGGAGCTGAAAGGGGAGGGGGGGTGATTGGATTCCAGTTCATCTTCTCTTCTGTACAACATGTGACCCCTGTGAAGAAACTGTCATAACTTAAACCAATTTGAAGTTTGTGTTTCAGCTGAAACAACTGTTTCATCTCTAAGTCACCATGAGCTGTAAGAGTGCAGATCATGGAAGATCTCATTTAGTTTGAAGAAAAATGTAAAAAATCAAGTACTATTTTTCTCACGTATGTCTGTATATTAGTTACTTGCCTCATTGCCCGGACAAATACCTAGCTAAAACAACATCAGAAAGAAAGGGTTCATTTGACTCACACTTTGAGGCCTCAGTCCCTCATGGTGGAGATGGCAGGCCTCAGGAGTAAGTGTGAGGCAGCTTGTCACACTTCGTGCATCTACAGCCAGGAAGCAGCTGGTTACTGATGCTCAGCTAGATTGCTTCTTTTCATTAGGTTGGGACCCCAGCGCATGGGATGATGCACTCACATTTAGGACAGACTGTCCCACCTCAGTTAATCAAGAAAATTACTCACCGTTGTGCTCTGAAGATAGTGTGGGTGCAAAACCACAAATCCCACCTCAAAGGGGATAAAGTATCATTTATTGTGAAGCCAAATACGCATGACTGTGTTCTGGGAACACAGCTGTAGGTTACCTCAAATTCCATGTTCTAAGGTGGTAACACATTGATGAAGTATTGATAGTAACAGCACAGAGAAAGTCAGAAATGTAGGTACTTTTCCGATACATTGGTGGAAATATTAAGTAGATGCATGGCAATAAAACAGGAAAACCTTAGCTGTACGCTCCACGTGCTGCCCTGATGCTCCTGCTCTCAGGTGGTAATAACTAGGGTTTTATTAATACATCCCCAAGTGCTGTACCTTTTAGTACCTTGATGTTAGGGCAGACGCTGAGGTGGGCAAGAAACAGCTGTTTAGGGACTAGAGGTAGCACGAGGTAGTTGCCATTGGAGCCTGAACCTGTAACACTCTTCTGTGTTATGCCTTTGGTTCTGGGGCAGAGAGATTACTGGCAATAGAAGGATGAAGGAAAGCCTCAGGTGGTGGAGACCACGTGGGACTGACTTGTACATCCCTGGGCTGTAGTTCCTGAGTGAGGAGTGCAATCCCATTAGAGTGCTGTCTGCAGTACAGAGAAGAGGAAAGGAAAGAAGAAGAAGGGAGGAGAGGGGAGAGGAGGGGAGGGGAGCGGAGGGGAGAGGAGAAGAGGGGAGGGGAGGGGAGAGGAGGGGAGGGGAGGGGAGGAGAGGGGAGGGCAGGGAGGGCAGGGGAGAGGAGGGGAGGGGAGAGGAAGGGGAGGGGAGGAGAGGGGAGGGGAGGGGAGGGAGGGCAGGGGAGAAGAGGAGAGCCAAAGTGAATCACTGTAAGAATTTCTGCAGCAGTGCTCAAGGGAGATCCATTCTAGATTTTTGGAAAGAGATTTCTGTAAAAACTCCTGTCTTCTTCATGAAAAATGCCTAATGAGATCTCCATCAGAACACTGTATGTAGCAAATATTACAAAGTTTTTAAAAATATTTCTTGAGATTTAAATTTTTCTTTTGTATGTATACATGTTTGCCTGAATGTTTGTTTGTGCACTGCATGTATACAGTGCCTGGAGTGGTCAGAAGGAGGACATTGGGTCCCCATGAACTGGAGTTACAAATGGTTGTGAGCCACTGTGGAGGTGCTGGAAATTGAATCCCTGCCCTCTGGAAGAGCAGCTGGCGCACTGCTTAGCTACTGAGGCATCTCTCCAGTCCCACGGTGTTTTCTCGAGTGTCACAGAGTAAGTAAAAAATACTGATTGCTTTCTCATACATGTGCGGTGTTTTTGAGGAGGGGAAACACCTATGCTCACGTAGGTGGCTACTTCATTAACGTGACTCTTCTCCACTGCTTCCATCAGCTCGAATGTTCTGTGCCAGGAATGTTCTACCAGAAACTAGAAAGTTGTAAGTACAATTCGTACCCAGTAGGTTCCTCAAAGATCCAGCCCTCCTTCAACAGAAAACAGCGGACAAACCAAGATTCCTTCACCCTTCACCTCAAAATCTCAGGTTTCTTGTGTAGTCTACAGATCTTACTCCGCTACCAAGTCCTAGCCAAGCTCTCACAGTAGCCAGACTTCAGCATTCCAGGGCTACTCCTTGTTTCAGCCCAGGTTTACATTTCCCCTTCAGTCTTAAAAAGATTCTATGAAGTGATTTTTATCAATACCCAAAGAGCAATAAGCTGAATTTTTTTTTAACAACAGATTCCTGAAAGCCCCATTTGATATTATCAGCCCCCACCTAGAACCAGTACATGGCTCTTGGATCTTTTCTGCGGGTGTCTACCCTCAGAGGCAAGAAAAGGACTGTGTAATAGTTTCAGTTTTCTTTAGTTAAGCTTAGCAAAAGCCGAGCAAAATGGGTAAATTGTTAAGGTTTTTTTTTTCTTTGTTTTAGCTTGGATTTTGAAATAGTGTCTCTCTATTATGTAAGTAGATCTGTCTGTCCTGGAGCTTGCTATATAGACCTGGATAGCCCTGAATTTACAGAGAGATCCACCTGCCTCTGCCTCCTGAGTGCTGGGATTAAAGGGGTGCACCACCATGCTCTGCTGAAGAAGTCTTTTTTATTATATGATTACATTTTGAAACGCGTTTGTTTTTCACAGACAAAAT